CATATGCACGTAAGTTCAATATCATTAGTAATTAGGGAACTTTGAATTAAAATCACCATGTGATGATTGTGTGCACCTGCTAGAAGAGCTAACACTGAAAACACTGGCCAGACAAGTCTCAGTAAGGGTGTGGAGCAACTGGAACTGTCAGCTGCCGGTAGGACTTGAAAATGGAAAACAGGTTGTCGGTTTCTTAAAAAGTTAAATATACGGCCAGGCACAGTGGCTCATCCCTGGAGTCACAGCACTTTGGGAGACTGAGGGGCAAATCACAAGATCAAGAGATCAAGACCATTCTGGTCAACATGGTGAAATTCCATCTATACTAAAAACACAAAAATTAGCTGGCATGGTGGCACATGCCTGTAGTCACAGTTACTCGGGAGACTGAGGCAGGAGAATTGCTTCAACCCAGGAGGCGGAGGTTGCAGTGAGCCAAGATTGCACCACTGCATTCCAGCCTGGCAACAGAGCAAGACTCCATCTCAAAAAAAAAAAAAATATTAAATATACATTTACCATGTGACCCAGCCATTTCACCCCTAGGTATGTAAAGAAATGAAAGCATATATCCACACAAAACTTGCATGTGAATATTCATGGAATACTTATCCATAATAAGCAAAAACTAGAAACAATCTAAACGCCAATCAACAAGTAACTGAATAAACAAATGTGGAATATGCAGATGAAGGAATACTACTTAGCAATAAAAAGCAATGCACCATTGATAAATACATTAACATGGCTGAATGTCAAAATACCTCTGCTAAGTGAAAGAAATCAGACAAAAAAGAATGCATACTGTATGATTCCATTTATAGAAAATGAAAACTAATCTCTAGTATCAATGAGCAGATCCATGGTTGCTGAGCACGACAGGAAGGATGAAGAAGGGCAGGTGTGGGAGACCACAAAGGAGCCTGACTCTACTTTTGAGTGATGGATGTGTTCATTAACTTGATTGTAGTGATGACTTCATGGATGGATTCATATGCCACAACTTACAAAATTGTGCACTTTAAATATGTGCACTTTAGTATATGCTAATAATACCTCAATAAACATGTTAAGGAAAAGTAATGTAATACCCCAAGGAAACTTCAAATATTAGTGCCTCCACCAAAGACCTGGTGCCTGGGATTGATATGGCTTACATTTGTGTCCCCACCCAAATCTCATGTCAAATTGGAGGAGGGCCCTGGTGGGAGGTGACTGGATTAAGGGGGCAGATTTCTTCCTTGCTGTTCTCATGATGGTGAGTTCTCACGAGATCTGATGATTTAGAAGTATATGGAACTCCTCCCTTCTCTCTCTCTCTCTCTCTCTCTCTCTCTCTCTCTATCTCCTGCCACCATGTAAAGAAAGTCTTTGCTTCCCTTTCACCTTCCACTATGATTGTAAGTTTCCTGAGGCCTCCAGTCATGCATCCCATTAGGCCTGCAGAACTGTGAGTCCATTAAATGCTTTTCTTAATAAATCACCCAGTCTCGGGTAGTTCTTCACAGCAGCGTGAAAATGGACTAATATAGTGATAATTCCTGCCACAATCTTCATTTATCTCACCTATTTAACAAATATAACAGCCACATGGGTCTTGGAGAGTAACAGCAAGTCACGCAGATTTTGTGAGGTGTTGGTAACGATGGCAGGTGTAGTTACACATTTGCCTTTACTAGAATAAATCAGCTGGTATGCAACCAGTTAGCAGCTGTCAATTTGAAAAATATTTTATTTCAGTGCATTCATAAAGAAAAATGAGAAACTGCCTTCACATAGCAGCAATAGCAGTATCTCTTTAATGAGTTGCTTCATTGCCAAGGCCCAGGTACACCTGTTATTCTGGCAGAATTGTCAACAGCACTTCTTTCACTCTCAAAAGTCAGGGTTTGGGTTATAAATTATACAATCACCTTATTCAGGACAATGCCAATCTTCTGCATTGTCCTGCGTGGCTCTGGAGGCCTAAGACCTCAAGAAGAGTCTGAATTGAATCATACTGAGAAACTGTAGGGACTCATCTGGCAAGTTCTAATAGGAGAATCACTGCACAAATCTCTGAAAGTTTGAGTTAGGTGATCCCCTATTGTGTTGGAAAATCTCCTTTTCAAAAGCAGCTATTGGCTTGCTATTAGGCTCTGGCAGAAACCAGTTCTTTCAAGTGTAGGTTCATGGGTGGACCTGTACAGTACTCCAGCCCTGCAGCAAGTAGGCAGATCCTGTGCTGCAGCTTCACACAAAACCCAGTGACGAAGGGAGACCCTCCCAGTAAGCAAAGTGTGTGGCATGATCCACCATCCACTTTCTGTGGAAGAAGACATGGCCTGGGGTGCAGAATCACGGGTTGACCAGCTGGCCATGGGCTTGGAGAGGATAAGACTGGGAAGTTGGTGTCAAGGGGGTTGTATTAGGCTGTTCTTGCACTGCTACAAAGAATTATAAAGAAAAGAGGTTCAGTTGGCTCACGGTTCTGCAGGCTGCACAGGCATGGTACCAGCATCTGCTCAGCTTCTGGTGAGGCCTCAGGAAGCTTCCAATCACGGCAGGAGGAGAAGGGGGAGCAGGTGCATCACATGACGAAAGCGGGAGAAGGAGGGAGGGTGTGGGGGGAGGTGCCCCACATTTTTAAATGACCAGATTTCGTGTGAGCTCAGAGAGCTCACTTGTCACCAAGAGGATGGCTCAGGCTTCTCATGAGGGATCTGCCCCCATGATCCACACACCTCCCACCAGGTCCCACCTCCAATGCTGGTCATCACATTTCAACATGAGATTTGGCTGAGGACAATTATCCAAACTCTATCAGGGGTCAAAGTGAGAAACACATGTGTGAACCTCTCAGAACCTATGTCCACCACAAGACACCCACTGCAGGGAAGCATTTAAAAATTACACGAACAATCTGATATCCCGTGAATGTCAACCAGCCCTTCCTCGGTTACCCTGAGGCTCGCTCAAAGGGCTCATGCACAGAGCAGCCGCAGCAGCAGGGATGGAAGCTGTGCATGGGCTCAGCGGCCCAACCTTCCTCTGACCAGGGCTAATCACTCAACCGCCTACCTTTGCCAACACCAGAGACCAATGTGGCGCCATTTTTCAGGGGGGCCAGATACCACCTGTTAACAGGTTGAGTACATTGGGCCCTTCCATCATGAAGGGGACAACACTGTATCTTTGCAGCCATAGACAATGTCCCAGGTGTGTATTTGCCTTCCCTGCTCACAGTACTTCTGCTGACACCAGCAAAGTCACCTCTAACCAAGGGGCATGTTTTATGGCTACGGTAGCCTATCTGGTGACGCCAACAAACCATGCCTGCTTCTTCACGTCTCTGGGTTGTACCTCCCAAACTGACTCTGAGCTTGGCCATGACCAGCCGTGCCCGATGGAACGTTAGGAAACATGGTGTCAGCACTTGGTTAGTATTTGCCCTTTGGGGTTCATCCTCTTGTTTGCAGAATGGCTGCTCTTGGAATATTCTTTCCCAGACCCAGCAGTGGTGCTGTGAGAAGCCCAAAGGGCCACATAGAGAGGCCAGATGGAAGAAAACTCAAAGCCCTGGCTGCCACCTCCCAGCTGACAACCAGCACCAAGGGGACAGTTGTGTTAGGGGCCTTTTTGGAAGTATCACATTTCAGCATGAGAGGTGGGTGCCCGGCCCCAGGTGGGATGCTCCACCTGATACCATGTGGAACAGAAGCAAGTTTACCCATCAAGCCCCCCGCCAAATTGATCATCTTGAGTACATGCATGATTGGTGGTGTTTTCAGCCAGTCTATGTATTAGGTGTGTTAAGGAGAGACAGACACCAAAACAGTGGTGAGTAGGAGGCTCTGGGGCCAAGGGAGGAGCACTTCTACCAGAGAACATGGTCCTGCTTCTAAGGATTGGAAGCTGAGACCTCCACTGGCCATTTGCAACTCTTCATCCTCTGAACCAAGAGCCAGGGCAGGGGAAGTTGTACACTCACCAGAGGAAGTGCAAGAAGTTTGCCTAGAACCCAGGGAACCCGCTGGGAAACCTGGGACGTCCTTGCTAAATAGTCCCAGTCAAAGGGAAATTATGACAACTCAACAAAGACCACATCCGAGAACTCGGATTCTACCAGAATGGAGGTTGGGGTCATCCCACCAGGGAAATCACACCAGAGAGCCAGTATTTCAGGACGTAAAGCCTGAAATACTGTCCCTTCACAAAAAGTGTGCTGATGCCTGATCGACACCAGTACAAGAGCCCGACAGGCCAAAGGCCGGCGAGGCGCCCATAGAAGAAAAGGGCTAACACAGGCCCGTAACTTCCCCCTGCAGGAAGCCCCAGAGCAGGGCAGACCCCGAGCCAAGTTCAAGCTCAGGTGCAGTCCCGGGGCCAAGCCCATCAGCAGCGGACGGGGTTCACCAGCCAGAAAACCAACACAGGGCTTCTCGGGGCTCCTGCAAACTGAGCTCTCACCTCAATAATCCTCGGAGCAGGATGCGTCTGGTCTATCTGGATTGTTGATCATCCTTCTTTTTCAAAGCTGCAGCTCGTGGACATGAGGGCCACAGCTGCTGTGCAGATGCACATTTCCAAGGTGGAAAAACGGACCCTCCGAGCTCCGTGGGCTGCCCTGGGCCGGCCTGTGAGTGTCCGGCGGCCACTCTGGGACTGCGCACACTCTGCCTTGGATGAGGGGCTCTCAGGAAGCTGCAGCCAATGCTTTGGGGCCTCTCAGATCCATATGTGGACACTGTTCCTCCCTTGCAGCGTGACTAAGTCCCAGCCAAGCCAAACGCCGGAGACTTGAGCTGCCTGCGTCCGTGTGGCAGCCCGCTCTTGGTGCAAGTGCAGAGACCTCAGCGACACCACCCTGTGCCCATGCTGTGAGCCCCCGGGGCATCAATATTAGTGACAAGCGGTACCGTTAAAAACTAAAAGTTCAGGTTCCCACTCTCCTACCCCAAAGGCTTTCTCTCTCCTAAGATAAAAATATAGCAATGAATAGGCAGTGTCAGACGAGAGGCAATTTTCAAAATACCTTTATCTTTTTCTCATTGGGTGGTCATTCTATCACACAGTTAACAGTCCACATGCTGCGCCATTTCCTTTGGGTAATTCTGCCAACCTCACATCTTCATGTATTTCAGTCAGTCCTCAGTTTCTTCGGCTTCTGTTATTGTCACTGTTACTAGATTTTTGGAAAAGAAGAATTGTTTTTCAAATGGAATATTCAGCAGTCCCGAAAATATTTCATCAGGGTCTTTGAACACATCTACGTGGTATCCGATTGGCAATGATTGACTCTAAAGCCAGTTTGGGGGGTGGCCATAGCTGCCCTGTGTTTCTCAGTGCGTTCCAGGGAGAAGCATCTTTCTGAGGCGGTGAAACAGTCTTCCTCCCACAGTCACACTCCACAGGAGGCTCCCTTCACCAGGCCAACATCCATCCTGCAGGAAAGCCTCATTCCACAGACACAGCCGCAGTTAAGGGCCAGGCATTCCACATCCGAAATCAAGTGTGAGTCACCTCTTACCCTGCCTCCTGCTTTTCCTGATGGTCCCTGTAAAACCAAGTCTACTTGGTAACAATGGAAAAGGCCAGGCCATTCACATTCCTGTACAAACATCTCTGAAGATAAGGCTTACCATTTGAGATGTTTCTTTCCCTAATCTGCTAAGTTGCTGATCTAGGAAAAGCAAGCAGCAACCTCCAAGGGCCTTCGAAGCGGATACACCAACATATGAACAACTTTCCTTCCTGGAAACCGAGGCAGGCATAGAGTGATCGTCCACCTCTCCAACCATGACCACCGCGTGGTCAGGCTGCCACAGAGAGTAGCCGTGGCGGCCCTGCAGCCTCCCGCAGGAAGTCACTCAATCAAATGCGCAGGCTCTGCTGGGCCTCTCCCCCTCCCCGGGAGCCTCCCCACTAACACTGAGGGCCCCGCCAGAGGGTGAAATGACCGGGGGACAGAAGAGGACGGGAAACGGGAGGACAACACTCAGAGAGGGAAACTCTCGGACAGCCACGCCCACCCTGCAAACCTGAGCCTCCAGAGTCGGGTAAATTAGAATTTTGCACAAGCTACAACACTGATCGCTGAGACTGAACGGCCAGGGCAGATGCTGAGCGCCTTTCAGGGGAAGGTCTCCTGAGGGAATAGAGCCGTGCCCTTGACCCCAAGCTGAGGATCATTCCAGAAGCTTCTCACCATCATCCTCGGCCTCCTCACTTTTCACCTTGTCACCCTCACCAAGTGAGGGCCCAGCACCCAGAGGCGTCAGCCCTGGCTTGCTGCTGGAGGAGGCCATCTCTGCCTTTTCACTGGACTTCTGTGACAGCTTGGCGTCCGTTAGGATGGCCCTTTCTCTCCTGATCTCCTGAACAACTCTGGTGGGAGGAGGGTTTTATCACAGTCAGAGAAGTTAAGAGGGGAAACCCCCTAGTCCCCCTACCCGCCCACCCGCCCATCCCTCTGAAAACACTGGTTCATGATCATGCATACCTATTTTTTAAGGTAAATGCTTTGATGTGATAGTTCTCATTTTCGTCTATTTCTCTCTTTTTTTTTTTTTTTGGAGACGGTCATGCCCTGTCACCCAGGCTGGAGTGCAGTGGCACAAACAGCTCACTGCAGCCACCACCTCCTGGGCTCAAGCGATCCTCCCACCTCAGCCTCCCAAAGTGCCGGCAGATTCTAAGCAGGAGCCACCACATCCCGGCTTATATTAGTTTCTTATGCAGGCTCCAAACAGATGACTGTATGAGGCAGCTAGACTCCCAAAGACAGCTCCGGGCGGGGGCTGGGGGTGTGCGCTGCACTGCAGGTTACCGAGGCTTCATCTTCATGATGAACACACATAGGATGGCACATAGCACCACTCATGGCAGGAAAACGGCTTTACTCGTTCCTGGACAAAGGGACTCAAATACTCAGGGGCTTGCATGCAAGTCACAGAGTGGGCTCGTGGCGAAGGTGCCTGGCCGGGGAGTGAGATGCTGGATTCCAGTCCTGCCCTGGGGACAGCCACGGGCTGCCTTGCTTCCCCAGGTCTGCATTTCCTCACCATTAAAATGAGAGAAAGTAGACTCATCTCTGAGGCAACTCCAAACCCTGACACCCTGCAGCAAGGACAGAGGCCAAGGCCAAGAGGCGCAGGCAGCCCTGGCTTCAGGGGCTCTGCGACAAATGGGGGCCTTGGTTAGAGCCTCACTGCCCCATGCATCCGCCTTGGGGGCCCCTCAATGCTGCATCCATCATCCCGGTCCAGGGACAGCAATGGCACTTATGCCATCAGTGGCTGTGAGGGCTGAACAGGCTGAACAGAGCTCACTAAATGTGGGTTATGATTTTCATCAACAAGCTCTCTGGGAAAATCGGTGGGGCCCTCCCTGCCTGCCCAGCAACCTTCCCCAGGCTCACGGAGCGCTGCTCCCAGTCACCCCAGCAGCACCAAGCCCGAAGGGGCCCAGGCAGCCAGGAGGCTGCGGCTGGGAGAGGTGAGTTCCCTCCTCCCCACCCTCACAGTGAAAGAACAAAGGGACTGACCTGTAGATGATGGTGACGATGAAGGCAGCGGCGATGATCACAATCAAGGCGGAGAACACTTGCCCGTAAACTGAAAAATGGATGGGTTCATTTAGATCTAAGTAAATAGAAAAGGAAGGAGAAGAAAAGCCGGCCCTCATCCCTGAGTCGGGTGCGGCCCTCCCGTGGCTGCTGCCTATGGTCAGCCCTCCTCACCCACCCTCCCCAGAGCCTCCAGGAGACTCAGCCCCCTGGACATCTCCAAAGGCCCCCACCGGTAGACAAGGGCTCCCTGTGAGAGGTAGCTCGGGGTGGTGGTCGGCACCACCCTAAGGATACCTTGTGACCGCCCTGATCCCCGGGGGTGCGTGGAGAGATGGCGCTGGCTCCTCTGTTCCTGCTGTGCCCCCAGCTCCCCCAGCTCCATGGCTCCTCAATGCCCAGGCCAATTCCTCCCCTACGCTGAATACAAGGAAAATCCTGACTGGATCATAGACAGATGGTCTTGACTGGGCTTCTCTGTATTAAAAGGGGCTCCTGCAGTCCCCAAGTTTCTCGTGCCTTCTCCAACCCACTCTCAGCAGAAGTCAGAGCCTCCCAGGTGGCCCTGAGGGGCAGCCCAGGTAAGTGCACTCCCAGCCTCTCCCAGGGGGGCTTGATGGGGAGGAGGAACTACTCAGCCCCCTGAGCCTCCTCCTGGGGACTACCCACTGCTCAGAGACAGGGCCCTGTCTGTGCAAGAGGCCTGCGGGGCGCAGCACTGCCCAGCACTGAGCGCTGACATCTGGATCTCTGCCAGCTCATTGGTTCAGGACTGGACCTCCTCAAGTCCTGACACTTATTCATGAGCATCACTCCTCCCGGAGTCCTTGGTCAAATAACATCCTCGCCTAGCGTTTGTTCTGCTGTGTTTCCTCCATGCAATTGATGTAAGGAATTTTTTAATGAATTCAAGTAAAGTTCTTAAGTACGTGGCAGGTCACATAGACACAGTAATCAGATGTGATTTCCCTGGATGGCGCGTGGGGTTCCAAGGGCTGCTGTAAGAAAGTGCCACGTACTGCGGGACTTCGAACAATAGAAACTGATCGTCTCACAGTTCTGGAGGCCAGAAGTCCAGGAACGCAGTGTCGGCAGCGCCGTGTTCTTCTCAAAGGCTCCTGGAAAGGGTCCTCCCTGGCCTCTTCCTAGCTCTGGGGTGGCTGGCAATCCGGGCAATCTGTTTGCAGATGCGTCACAGCAGTCTCTGCCGCCGTTGTCACGTGTCTGTCTTCCCTCTGTGTTCCTCTGTCTCTGTGTCTCTTCTCGTTTGACAAAGGCACCAGTCATTTTGGTTGGAGGGCTCACGCTACTCCATTGTGATCTCATTTTACCTAATTACAACCACAAAGACCCTTTTTCTAAATCAGGTCGCAGTCACAGGTACCAGGGATCTGAACTTCAACATATGCGTTGGGTGTATACAACCACCGCAGAAGCGAGGCTGCAGGTGCAGAGAAAGCGGCCACCCGGGCACACAAGCCAGCTTCCGGCGGGATCTGTGCTCCCCGGACTAATCACAGGGCCTCCAGCAATGGATGAGGTACCCAGGATTCTTTCCATGGGGATGGAAGTCAGAAATGAGAGAGGGTTAAAGCCAGCTCATGGGGGTAACCCAGAGCCTCGATTTTTCTCCTGCCGAGGTGACCTCGCAAGGAACGGTGAAGTACACAATGGGCAGTCCGGGAGATTTCCTCGAGGACAGGCTGAAGGAGGGAACGAGGCTTGGGGTCGTGCGCTCTCGGGTAACAGGCGTGTACCAAGGAGCACACTGGGAAACTGCTTGTCGAAGGTTCTTCCAATCAGCTGGCTTATTTCTTTAAGCAAGGACTGTCCCGTGGAAACTTGCTTACCTGAGGAGGGTAACGGTGGGGCAGACTCACCTCCAAATCTCCAGGGCCACCATAACCAGCTTCCAGGATGGCCTCCTGAGTTTCACCTCCCAGGATTTACACCCTAGATAGATGTTGCCACACTGAACAGCGCTGATCCTTGGAGCCAAAGGAGACCCCAGAGTCTAACAACACCCAAGGCCACATGAAAAAGACATTGCAGCTTCTCCCCTGTTCTCTCTTGGGCCACTTGCTCTGGGAAAGACTGAAGCCCTTATGGTGAGGAGAAGAGGCCTCCTATAACATCTGGCATCAACTTCTCAGCAACATCTGGAACGCCAAGCCTTCAGGTGACTGCAACCTCGCTCAGCATCTTGACTGCAATCTCATAAGACACCTAAGCCCAATCCACCCAGCAAAGCCTCTAAGTTGCTTTAAGCCACTAAGTTTTGGGGTAATTTGTCACACAGCAATAGAAGATGAATCTGAGAGGTAGCAGAGAGCTTGCCCAGAGAGCCTGCACTTAAATGCTGTTGAACAATCTATTGAATTGAAATGCACGAACGAAGCGATAGGGTGAATTAAGAGCTTCCATGAGTCCGGCCGGGCACGGTGGCTCATGCCAATAATCCCAGCACTTTGGGAAGCCGAGGCGGGCAGATCATGAGGTCAAGAGATCGAGACCATCCTGGCCAACATAGTGAAACTCCATCTCTACTAAAAATACAAAAATTAGCTGGGCGTGGTGGCGCGCGCCTGTAGTCCCAGCTACTCCGGAGGCTGAGGAAGGAGAATTGCTTGAACCAGGGAGGTGGGGGTTGCAGTGAGCCAAGATTGTGCCACTGCACTCCCGCCTGGTGCCTGGCGACAGAGTGAGACTCTGTCTCAAAAAAAAAAAGCTTCTGTGAGTCAAGAAGGTAACCCTGAAATTCTTGAACTCCAGGAAATGCTTTATTTCTTAGTATGACTTTGTGTCTTAGCTCATGGAATTTATTCAAAATGATATGAGTGAGAGACACACATAGGTGCCAGGTGCAGTGGCTCACATCTGTAATTCCAGCACTTTGGGAGGCTGGAGCCGGTGGATCACCTGAGGTCAGAAGTTCGAGACCAGCCTGGCCAAAATAGTGAAACTCCGCCTCTACTAAAAATACAAAAATTGCCTGGGCATGGCGGCATGCGCCTGTAATCCCAGCTACTCATGAGGCTGAGGCAGGAGAATCACTTGAACCCGGGAAGCAGAGGCTGTAATTAGCCAAGATTATGTCACTGCACTCTAGCCTGGGTGACAGAGGAAACTCCATCTCAAACAAAAAAAAAAAAAAAAAAAGAGAAAGCCACACAAACATACATAGTCAGCATCTTCCCATTCTACTGTCAGAATGTCTCCTCACATCTTCATATGTGCTCATGTTCTTTGTCCTTGATGCCAAGCTCCTAAAGACGGAGACTCAACCCCAATGATGCTTTCTGTACATGTCTGTCTAGCAACACAGAACATATCTATGGCTTATCATAAACCACAAACTCTGGTTGATCTTTCAGAAATAGCAGCAATTGAAGAAAGGATAATTTTCTTTAAGAAATAGCTCGGTAAATTTTCCCCAAATATAGTTAAACAAAAGTTTTGAAATCATCTCAGCAAGTCCCATGAAGAAACTGAAGTCAGATACTTAGAAGAAATGACATGTTAAATAACATACCCTAAATCAAGACTGAAGAATGAAGGCAAGTCTTTCTCTTTGAATTCCCAATTCTTTCTGAAAGATCTAATGCTAATTCCCCAATTCATATTCTTAATAATACAGATTATGCCATAACACAATGTGCACTTCAAAGCAGCCAATTTAAGATGTTGGTGAAAGGTTTTCATAACATGGAATTATGTGCACAAAGAGCTCACGCTACCCTGTCACTGAATACTACAACCTGCACAGCACAAAGGTTTGTTCGTCACTTTGAATGAGAAAGATGTCAAAGAAATGAAAAGTAACGTGGGGGCACAGTGAGAGCCCCAAGGCAGGACCCACTGCCCAGGCTCTTCCTGCAGACCCCACAGGCCTGGAAGAAGTCAGCAGTCAAGAAAAGCACAGCCATGCAACCCAGCTATTAAAGTTGGAATGATGGAAAGAGCTAATGGTTGCTTCTATGCAAAAATGATATACCCTCTTGCAAAACAGTGAGCCCTCTCCAAGTCAAAACTATTCTTGAGAGGTTGTATTCTCTTCTGGGTTCCTTCTAACACCAGTCATGAAGCTGCTATAGAGAATAAGGCTCACTTTCAAAATGAATGACAGGCATGCAGCGATTGTTCTAACTTAAGCCATGTTTGACATACATACCAACACTTACAAATGGGCAGCGCCTGCACAGCACTCTGCATGGTACTCTGATAAGAAGGTGCTCAGGGGATAGGAGAGGTGGCAAAAGCAGCAGCAGTAGCAGCTTGGATGTGAGTTCCCTTCCTAGCTGTGATCTTCCTGGAATGACGCATTTACACCACTTTACATGGTTGGATCTCTGTTTCACTGGGATGTAAGGAAATTGGAATCATTACTCATTATATGGAGAAGATTGAAAGAATAAACTTAAATACCTTTTAGATGCTGATGTTTGCTGCTTTTAGGAGCCTTAAATGGTAAACTTCTCAGAAAAATTAAGTTGTATAAGTGCTTTGGAAACTGGAGTTCTGTAAGAAGTCCAACTCCATGATGGAAATGAATTGAGCGTGACTGTGAGCATCTGCTGCTCTCTGCATGTGAAATGTGAGCAGCAAACCCCCATTCCACAAAACAAAAACAAAATGATGACAAGTGCCAATGCAGCAAACCATGGCCAAGTCTGTACCCACTGCCATGAGCTCAGTTTCAGGAGCACTGGCACATGCCCCAGAGGACGAGCTGCTGGAATGAAGCCATGTGAGAGGTCGTTCAACACTGGAAGGCCTGGAACCCAAAATCATCTCTCAAGTAAGATTCTGGCTAAAGGGCATGGGTTGTAGGATGAGATAGGTGAGACAGGTGAAGGAGAATGGACTCCTTTGGGAAAAAGCACTACATCTTGTTGTAACTCTCACTAACGATTATATACTGGGCTAGGGCTTCAGCAAAGCCCACAATTAACTTTCAGGGTGATATCAGCAAAAATGGCAGAGTGAAGCCCCCCCTGCCCTGCCAATTTCTTCCTCCATAAAGCAATGAGAATACTAGCAAAATCATCAGAGGAAAGTTTTCTAGAAATCCATAAATTAACCAAAATCTTGCAGAAATCTGTTTATTTGAGGCAAACAACTGAATCTCAATAAAAGAGCAAGCTTGGACCTTTTATCTAGGCTGGCTCCCATCTCTCCTGCCCACCCTCCATGTAGCTTGAAAATCAACAGCCTAAAATCATGGTAAAGCCAGCAGCCTGGCAGCCACTGTGGGAGTGGAAGCTCCTTCAAAGCCCCATGCCCAGAGAATTGTCATTACTTGATCTATCTGGTGCTTCCTTGGAATATCATCTTTATATGAACTGAACTCATTTAGTGAGAACAGCTTTTTCTCTAGGCGTCTGTTAGAAACAATCAGAAGCAATTGAAAATTGTTTCAC